CGAACTTCAAATCGCACGAGGGAAAGTTGCGGACCAAGATATTCAGGAAATATGTTGCATCACGAGTACCTGAAGAATTTGCAGAGGAGGATGACCGAGCCCATGTCCTGGGATGCGTCGTCTATCGCCACGACCAGCTGCTGATCCGACGGGTCCGCCCATTTGGAGGCAAGGTCTGTCTTCAGCATGTCCTTCGCGTGCATGGCCCTGTTCTGGCAGCTGAGCCCCTCAGGATACTTACCAATCGCGTGCCACAACTGGCGCCGGTCCGACGTCAGGGGGCCAAAGGGGATGCGCCGCCGTCGCCATCGTCGAGCTGAAACTTGTTTCCCTTCATATGGACCAGGTAACCCCACATGCGCTGTAAATTCTCGATCTCCCCCTTGACCCGATCCGCGAAACTACCTACTGATAAAACACGCTTCGCGCCCAAGATATGGCACTTGTCAGAATCTTCCTCATGTCGTTCGCAATCTGCGCATCTTCAAGTGTACTGATAACCGCCCACGCAGAGCGTCTGACGCTTCCTGATCGGCGGCTGGTACTAGGAGCGAAGCCGCCCGAGCCCGCGACACTGCCTTGGCCACGGTCCGACACGCCGTCACCTCGCCCAGCGGATCCAATACCGCCACCGCCTCCACCGGTCTCAACCACAGAGACTGTGGCTTTGAACTCCGAAGTCCGTGAACGTCTTTTCCGTGGATTTCACTCGCTCCACACACGTATCTATTTTGCGTTGCAGAGGATGCACCGATGCGTGCACGATCTGCCTGAAGTCCGCCGCGAAGGCCCCAAATACCCTTACCGCACTCAGCCCTAGTCCCCATGGCACAGCACCTGGAGCCTGAAGAACCTGTATAGCAGCACCATCCGAAACCTTAGAAGACGAAAAAACACCATAACCAAAACTTTTGGCGCTCCGCGCGGATTTCTCGGATCAGCATTGGACAACCCTCCCTGGCGCCCGGAGTGCGCCAGGGGCGGCGCCGGAAGCGCCGCTGGGGAGACTCAGCGCGGCTCCAAGAAATCCGCGCGGAGCGCCAAAATTGTATGTTCATGGCATCATTTTCCTTCGAAGGTTGCACCTCCGCGTCATCGTCGGGCTCGATCAGATACGCGCCCTCGTTGACACGAGCCTCCTTCGCTTCTCGCATGCCGTCAACAGCTGGGAGCAAGCCAGCGGCAGCGGCGTGGGGCGCCAGGACCGAGCACGGAGGGACCAGCAGCCGCATGAGAGCCGTGAAGAGCCGCCGCAGCCGCCGCTGACATGTCTGCGTGGAGGATATGTTCCGATCTGAAGGGCGAGAACGAGAACGCACGAAGACGGGCTGACGTCCGAGACAAAACGTCTGAGGCGAAACTGGATGTGCCTGAATCGTGCGCCAAGTCCTGGTCTTGAGCCAAAATGGCGACGACGACGACCACCACCACGACCACAACCACGACCACGACCACGACCACGACGACGACGACGACGATGACGACGACGATGACGACGACCACGACGACGACGACCGCGACCACGACTGCGACCACGACCACGACCGCGAGCACGACCACGACCACGACCACGACGACGACGACGACGACGACGACGACGACCACGACGACGACCACGACGACGACGACAACGACGACGACGACGACGACCACCACCACGACGACGACGACGACGATAACGACGACGACTGCGTCGACGGCGACAGACAAAGGCAACGCCGACAGTGGCGGTCACGACGACGACGACGATCACCACCACCACCACCACATTGGCGAAAGCCGCGACGGCGGCGACGTCATTCAAGCTCTGAGCCCCAGCGCCTGTGCTTCAGAGATCGTGACTGCCCGCAGGGGCAGGGTTCGCTGGTGATCGCAGGCGCGCGACGCGGGCGGCAGGGTGCGGCGAGTGTCGCAGGTGTTTTGCGAACTCTTGGCCACAGGCCCAAGTCACTGTAGGGTGCAGAAGAAGCAGCTACACAAACATAAACTCTCGGAGGGCCGCGCGGACTTCTTGAATCGGCGCTGGCCCCCCCCATCCCTGGCGCGAGGAGCGCGCCAAGGGGGCAGCGCCGACCCAAGAAATCAGCTCGATGCCGACGTGTGTGCTTCGAAGGTCGGGCGCGGGAAGCAAGCCGAGAGGGCACGAGGCAGGGCGGGAGCGCGCTGCCGGAAGGCGCGGGGCATGCCTGCACATCGAGTGGAACGACTCCGCGCCCTGGCTGATGGGGGGGTGGGGCGGCGCCCGCGCGGGGCAACCCTCCTCTGCTGGGGGGCAGCGAGAGACCTCGGGCGCAGGTCTTCTCGAGCCGCCCGGAAGGTCTGCGGAGGAGAAGGCAGACCCGCCATCCGACCACGCGAGCTCCTCCATGCGCGGCACCAAGGCCGTCCCGACCCTTTCCCTGGGGCCACAGCTTGTCGTCCTGGATACATTTTCGATGTCCCCGGGCCCTGATAGCTGTCCCCAAAGGCCGAGGTTTTGTAAAACGCTGCGACAGAAAATTCCAAGCCGTCGGAGATCTGGGGTGGAGGCCGAGGATGGTCCGAGTCAATGGGGTCGAAGGATCGCGCTGCATCGCCGATATCGGCGATGCATCGGCGACGTCGGTGTTGCCCCGTACCACGGGTCACTCCGGCGAAAGGTCACTCAAGCGTAGCCGTGGGAGGCAGGAGGGGGTCGGGCACGCACTGCTCCAGGTCAGCACAGACACGGGTCGGCCAGGACCCTGTCGCGAAGCCAGGCCAGCCGCTGAATAGCCACCTAACCTTTGGACGACCAGAATGGGTACGGAAAAATTATCATGGCGAAGGACCCAACCATGTGCAGTTGTGAATATCGCATTGCGGGTGCCGCTTTCGGTGGAGCTCCCTGTGGGGCCACGAAACGCTGTGCTGGGTGGGGGTGACGCATGCGGGCGGCACCACTGGGGCCTTCGGTGGAGGTCCCTGTGGGGCCACGAAACGCTGTACTGGGCGGGGGTGACGCATGCGGGCGGCACCACTGGGGCCGTCGGTGGAGCTCCCTGTGGGGCCACGAAACGCTGTGCTGGGTGGGGGTGGCGCATGCGGGCGGCACCACTGGGGCCTTCGGTGGAGCTCCCTGTGGGGCCACGAAATGCTGTGCTGGGGTGGGGGTGACGCATGCGGGCGGCACCACTGGGGCCTTCGGTGGAGGTCCCTGTGGGGCCACGAAACGCTGTGTTTGGTGGAGGTGCCGAAATGGGTGTGCGGGACGCATGCGAGCGGTGGCACTGGGGCCTTCGGTGGAGCTCCCTATGGGGCCACGAAACGTGTGAGGGGTGTGCCGAAATGGGTGTGGCTGACGCATGCGGGCTGGGGCCACGAAGCGTGTGAGGGGTGTGCCGAATTGGATGTGGCTGACGCATGCGGGCGGCGGCACTGCGGCCTTCGGTGGAGCTCCCTATGGGGCCACGAAAGCGTGTGAGGGGTGTGCCGAATTGGGTGTGGCTGACGCATGCGGGCGGCAGCACTGGGGCCTTCGGTGGAGCTCCCTATGGGGCCACGAAACGTGTGAGGGGTGTGCCGAATTGGGTGTGGCTGACGCATGCGGGCGGCGGCACTGGGGCCTTCGGTGGAGCTCCCTATGGGGCCACGAAACGTGTGAGGGGTGTGCCGAATGGGTGTGGCTGACGCATGCGGGCGGCGGCACTGGGGCCTTCGGTGGAGCTCCCTATGGGGCCACGAAACGTGTGAGGGGTGTGCCGAATGGGTGTGGAACGCATGCGGGCGGCAGCCACTGGGGCCTTCGGTGGAGCTCCCTATGGGCCACGAAACGTGTGAGGGGTGTGCCGAATTGGGTGTGGCTGACGCATGCGGGCGGCGGCACTGGGGCCTTCGGGGACGAAACGTCCCTATGGGGCCAGCGTGCCGGCCGAATTGGGTGTGGGTGTGAGGGGTGTGCCGAATTGGGTGTGGCTGACGCATGCGGGCGGCGGCACTGGGGCCTTCGGTGGAGCTCCCTATGGGGCCACGAAACGTGTGAGGGGTGTGCCGAACTGGGTGTGGCTGACGCATGCGGGCGGCAGCACTGGGGCCTTCGGTGGAGCTCCCTATGGGGCCACGAAACGTGTGAGGGGTGTGCCGAATTGGGTGTGGCTGACGCATGCGGGCGGCAGCACTGGGGCCTTCGGTGGAGCTCCCTATGGGGCCACGAAACGTGTGAGGGGTGTGCCGAACTGGGTGTGGCTGACGCATGCGGGCGGCAGCACTGGGGCCTTCGGTGGAGCTCCCTATGGGGCCACGAAACGTGTGAGGGGTGTGCCGAATTGGGTGTGGCTGACGCATGCGGGCGGTGGCACTGGGGCCTTCGGTGGAGCTCCCTATGGGGCCACGAAACGTGTGAGAGGTGTGACAATGATGGTGATGATGACGATGATGGTGGGTGATGACGATGATGATGATGATGATGATGATGATGATGATGATGATGATGATGATGATGATGATGATGATGATGATGATGATGATGATGATGATGATGATGATGATGATGATGATGATGATGATGATGATGATGATGACGATGATGATGATGACGATGATGATGATGATGCTGATGGGAGGAGGGAGGAGGGGGAAGAGGAGGAGAGGAGAGGAGAGGAGAGGAACGCGGGGCACCGTCTCTTCAAAACGAGGACCCAACACCACAGGATGGTTGGGAAATAGGTACGATGCCAAGCAAGAAGTATTGTTCAAAGCCAATTGCGGCCGCTGTTGGGCAGGCGGCCTTCTGCCTCAAATGGACAACGTCCGAGGCGGCGCGGACAGCGAGCCCTGCTCAAAATGAAGAAGAGCTGCTGTTGGGCGTCGTACCCATCCTTTCCGTACCCGTTCCGATCGTGCTGACAACCCAGGTCGGCGGAGAACGGAGCTCCCCCAAACCCGGGCCAGCCAGGGGGGATTGGCTGACCCCCGTTAGCGCTTACTAACCACCGTTGCGTGCGCCCCGAGGGTGGGGGGGCTGGCTACATTGCCCGGGCGGCCTCGAGCCCCGGCCGAGGCGCGCGCAGCATCTCGTAGTTGAGCTCCCTCGGCGCCACGACGCCGACCCCGCCCACGGCAGCGGACAGCACCGTGTGGAAGTAGGAGAATCGAAGGGCGACGAGCTCCGTGCACGTCTGCCGCCACTGCCCAGGCCCCTCCTGGACCCTCCTCCTCCTCCACCTCCTCCTCCTCCTCCACCTCCTCCTCCTCCACCTCCTCCCTGTCCTCGTCCTCCTCTTCCTCCTTCTACCTCCTCCCCCTGCTCCTCCTCCTCCTCCCCCTACTCCTTCCCCTCCACGTTCTCCTCCTCCTCCGCAGACGCCCCCGCGGGCCTGGCCACGGAGGCAACACGCGCCGAGGCTGGCACCGGGAAGGGGGCCTGGCCGGCAGCGGCGGACGTGCACAGAGCTTGTCGCCCGAAGTCGGCGACTCCGAAGGGTATGGTTTGCAGAAGGTGCGGCTTTGCAGTTGTTGTTGCATAACGGTCCATCGTCATAAAAAACTGTTTACTTTTGAATTCGAGCTCTGACTTTTGACGATCGATCGTCATAAAAAAAAACCTGTTGACGTCTGAATTCGAGATTCAAACGGTTTACTTCTGAATTCGAGCTTGCAACCCGAAGTCAGGGGGACGGGCGATGGCCTTGACCGAGTTCTCCACCGCGCCTCGACGGCGGCGGCTCGCGAACCACACCCTGGCGAGACCACACCCACTGCAGTCGCCGATAGGACACCCCGAACGTGCTCTCGGAGCCGTTCGCCGCGAGGGCGCCGTAGGCCAGGCCCATGGCAAGCCACATGGGCGACAGCAGCACCTTCCCCCGCCCTCCTCGCATCGCGGAGGAGCCACGACGCTAGAGAACAAAAACTGCATGAGCATAAACTTTGGGAGTTCAGCGCGGATTTCTTGGATCTGCGCTGGGCCCCCCTGGCGCGTGGAGCGCGAGGCACAAGTTTATGTTTGTGCTGTTTTTCGTCCTCGAGACGCGCTATTCAATTGCCGGTTTCGGCCTCTGGGGGCCCTCACCAAAACCTGGGACGGCCCAAACATGGCCCAGGATGAGAAGCCGGTCCCTGGGAAGGGGTGCAGATCTCTAGGGAGCCACGCTTGGGACGAGAGTGATGACATGATGCGAGTGGCTCAGGATACACTCCTGGAGCTCTGGAGTACGTAGTGGCCCTCGCGTCTGGAGCCCATGCGGAGCGATATGAACTCTGAGAAGTCCTGAAAATCTTGCAAATTCTTGGCACGAATCCGTGCCATGATCTCTTGCGCATCTAAACGGTGTGACAAAATCACGACGTCACGACGTCGGATGTGCGGGTCGAGCAGGGCGCTTGCCGTGTACCAGCGGCGATCCCAGGCGGGCTCGTGGCGGGCAGCGAGGCGTGAGCCCTATCCCTGCAGGTCAGAAGCCCGAAACCTTGGGGGGGGAGGGCCGGAGCTCGGAGGATGTCTGCAAGCGATTGGCTCAGGATACGTTCTGGGAAGTACGGAGTTTCTGGCTTCCCTCGGCCAATCGTGCTCATCCATTCGTCGCTGGACGCACGACGTGTTATCATCATCCTCATCACCATCACCATCACCATCATCATCACCATCACCATCACCATCACCATCGCCATCACCATCACCATCACCATCACCATCACCATCACCATCATCATCATCATCATCATCCTCATCATCATCCTCACCCTCATCATCCTCACCCTAATCATCCTCATCAGCATTATCATCACCATCATCATGCTCCTCCTCCTGCTTCTCCTCATCCTCCTCCTCGTCCTCCTCCCCGTCCTCCTCTTCCGTATCCTCCTCATCAGCATCATCAACATCATCCGCAGCAGCATAATCAAGATCATCCTCATCAAGATCAGCATCATCATCATCAGCATCAACACAACCACCACCACCACCACCATCATCATCATCATCATCATCAGCAGCAGCAGCATCATCATCATTACCAACATCGTCATCATCATCATCATCATCATCATCAGAGTAATCACCATCAACAAAATCATTGTAACCTCAGTCGCATCAACAACAGCATCATTATCGGACGCGGCAGCATCATCATCAGCATCATCATCATCATCATCAGCATCGTCATCGTCATCGCATCATCACCATCTCTATCCTCATCATCCTCATAATCATCATCAGCATCCCCAGCATCATCATAATCAGCATCGTCATCATCATCGTCATCAACACCAGCATCATCATCGTCATCATCATCATCATCAGACGCAGCATCATCATCAGCAGCATCATCCTCATCCTTACCATCATCATCATCATCATCATCATCATCATCATCATCATCACCATCATCATCATCATCATCATCATCATCATCAGCATCATCATCATCGTCAGCATCACCATCATCATCATCATCGACAACATCGTCGTCGTCATCATCCGCATCATCATCAGCATCTGAAACATCATCATCATCATCAGCATCACCATCAGCATCATTATCAGCATCAGCAGCATCATCAGGGGCAGCAGCATCATCGTCAGCATCATCATCGTCGTCGTCCTCATCATCGTCATAATCATCATCACCACCAGCAGCGTCATCATCAACAGCATCATCATCAGTAGCAGAATATCATGAGTAGCAGCATCATCATCATCCTCGTCGTCAACATCATCATCAACACCATTATCATCATCATCATCATCATCATCATCATCATCATCATCATCATCATCATCATGAGCATCATTATCGTCGTCAACATCATCATCATCATCATCGTCATCATCAGCATGATCAGCATCATCATCATCAGCAGCATCAGCAATAGCATCATCATCATCGTCATCGTCATCATCATTATCAACAAAAGCAGCAGGAGCAGCATCATCATGACCGTTCGCTCATCCGATGATTGGACCAGCAGGGGTAGAGCTCACGAGTGGTTGCAGGCCCTCCTGTCCTGGCCAGGAAGGCGTTCACCTCGAAAGCACAGTCAACGTCCACCGAATCTCCTCCTCCTCCTCCACAATTACACAATATGAATACAACTCTCATCTCCCCTGGTGACGTCCGGGAGATATGTGGCCCCCCTCCGCGTACTGTTTTTCACACCGGACTCCAAGGAATTGTGTTTTCGCTTGGGCTTGTCTTCCAAAATGCTGCTCCCGCTGAAGCGCTGGCTTCATTTTCGGGCTTCCGCTCGTTCTGAATCGTGCTCCCGCTACAGCGCTGTTCTCATTTCCGCGCTTCCGCTCGTTCCGAATCGTGCTCCCGCTGCAGCGCTGGCCTTCCTTCCGAATAGGTCCAAAAATCTGGAAAATGCCCCCCCGAAAAACCATCGGAAGTGATTCCACATTCGGTGTCGATTCGTTGATTTGGGCCGCAGAAGCCCCCCACTTTGGGGCGTCGTCGCTTTCAGGAAGTTTCAAGCGGGAGCCCCTATTCTGCTTTGAGTAGGCGATGTTGAAAGTAGGGCCAGCGGGTGCTCTCTATCAGCCCCGCCTTGAGTGGAGCTTTTCGGGGAGCCCAAAGAGCTAGACATGGAGCCACGACTCCAGACCGGCCCAGACCTCTCAAAGACGACCCACTTACCTTCCAAGGAAACTGGCGCTATGCCATGACATGCTGTGCGGTGTTGTGTTCTGCGCCGCTGTGTGATGCCATGCTTTGCGTTGCAATGCTTTGCGATGCAATGCTTCACTGCGCAACGCCACGCCATGCTATGGCATGCCACGCTCTGCCATGCTCTTCTACGCCATGCCATGCCGTGCTCTACCATGCATCGCGTAGCCTCTCGCGATCATTGCCCTGCTCGACATCCGACGGTGCGAATAGAGAGGGTATCTACGCCATGGTAAGGGATGGCAGGAAGGGGTGGGACATCAGATATGACGCGAGCGCACCTAGCTTGTCCTCCTCCCCCTCCTCCTCCCCCTCCTCCTCCTCCGCCTCATCCTTCTCCTCATCCTCCTATTCGGTGTGTTTTTCAATCTTCTCCACTTCCTCATCCATCAAGGGGAGGAGGAGGAAGAGGAGGTGGAGGTGGAGGAGGAGCAGGAGGATCAGGAGGAGGAGGAGGAGGAGGAGGGGATGGAGGAGGAGGAGGAGGAGGAGGAGGAGGAGGAGCAGCAGCAGGATGAGGAGCAGAAGGCGGAGGCGGAGGCGGAGGAGGAGGAGAAGGACGGCGAAACTGAGTAAACGGAGGAAACGGATAAGAAGCTACAGCCCACAGCTGTGCTAGAGTTTGTGCAACGTGAGGAGGAGGAGGAGGAGGAGGAGGAGGAGGAGGGGCAGGAGGAGAAGGAAGAGGAGGAGAAAGAACAAAGAGTAGGAGGAGGAGGAGGAGGAGGAGGAGAGGAGGAGCATCAGGGAGGACCATCAAGGAGGAGGAGCATCAAGGGGAGCATAAGAAAAACGTAATGAGGAGGAGGTGCTTGTGTGGAGCCGGCATCCCGCGCCTCCGCGGCCGCCACCCTCACCACCAGCTCCGCGTGGCAAGCCACGGCCGCCGTCGCGGCATAGGTCAGGCCATAGGCCGCCGAGGCGCGCCGCAGGAGGGCCCTGTCGCGGACCTTGCGGAGCGCACCCAGCAGAGGCACCTTCGCTCAGGGCTCTCAACTACTTGGGGGTCGGGGAAGGGGGAAGGCTTCTTACAAGGAGTCTGCTTCCCTAGAAGGCGCAGGCCCCACATCTGCAGACCAGGCCGGCGCTTCCTAAGAAGCAGGGGTGCTTATAAGGAGCCTCCCCCCTCCCCCATACTCCCCTCTGCGCGTGGCCGGGCTATGCTGAGATCCTGGCGTTGCACGTTTTTCACAACTGAGGGGCAGCGATAGGGGGACTAGCAGAAGGTGGGGCACATCGACCTGGGATCGGCGATACATCGCCGACAGATAGGCGATGGGCCTCCGATCGCGAAGCCGCACGTTCCTGGGCGGGGGTGGGCTATGAGACCCCCGTCGGCGATCAATGGGCGATCGGGGGTCGGTGCATCCCCCCCATACGCCTATCCCCCCCCCATCGTTGCCCCCGAAAAAGAGGCTCAAGCTTCGGCCGCAGCCTCCGCCCGCAGTGCACAGCCTCGTGCCTGCCCGTGGTGCTGCCGATGCGGCGCATAGCCCGCTCCCGGCCGGCGGCGCCCGCCGCCAAGCTCGGAGCTCGCTCGAGCGACGCCGAGCCCGGGCGGGCCCTGTCCTGGAGCTGGTCGGCGCCGAGCGAGCGGGGGACGCGAGGAAGAGGAGGCCTTCTCAGAAGGCGGCGGGACTCCTCGTGCGAAGTGTTCTGCGCCTGCGGGGAAGGCTCGGCAAACCTCTCACAGAGGCCGGTGGATTTCCGAGCCTTCTGAGAAGGCCCGCCCCTTCTCACTTGCCCCCCGGGCTCGCCGCCGAGCTGGGGGTTGCAACTTTGGTCGCCCTAGGCGTTTTCGCCCAGTTTCGGGCCCCTGGACCATCACAGATCGGTGCGGCCCTGGGGGTCCGGTCATTACGTTTTGCGGTGCTGCATTCGTCTTGCAACGTCGGATCTCAGGGTTCGCTGAGGGATTGACTATGACAGGCTCATGTCGTGACGACCCTGGCGGTGGTTCTGGCACCGCGCGGATCGGTGAACCTTGAAAGATCGGCGGCCTCTCGATCGCCAGATCGCTCCATGCTGGCCGATTGTGGGCGGCTGGCGGCCTTCCACCCTGAGATCCGACGTTGCGAAGAATTGCAAGATTAGAGGCCTCCTGGATGGGGTCGGAGTAGATGGGGTTAGAGGATGGAGCCGCATCGCTGATGCATCGGCGATGCATCCCCGATGCATTGACGATGCATCGACGACGTCGGCGATGCATCGGAGAAGACGTCGGCGTAGAGAAAATCGGGCTGCACATCGAGCCGCATCCGCGATGCATCGGCGATGCGGTGCGACCCTCCGACCCCATCTACTCCGACCCCATCTACTCCGACCCAATCTAGGAGGCCTAGGAACATCTCAGAAAAATCGCGACCAAAGCCGTGAACCCCATCGTCCTGCGCCACTGTTCGAGCCAGATCGATCCGTGAGGGTCCCAGGGCTCGAAGCGGGGCGAAAACGCCCCCTGGTTCATAACCCCATCGTCCTGCGCCACTGTTCGAGCCAGATCGATCCGTGAGGGTCCCAGGGCTCGAAGCGGGGCGAAAACGCCCCCTGGTTCACAAATAGCAGCGCCAGAATCTCAGGGAGTCTGGGACGCCCGCGGCGGGGTCGCCCCCCCCCCGGCTGACCAAAAAGGGGGTCCAGCTGAAAGGGGGAGGTGCAAGGTCTGGGGCAATTGTATTGCAAATGTACTGCGCCAGAAAATTGTCTTGCAGTAAGGCAACGAATGTATTGCACGCGAAAGCCCAGCAATACATCTGCGCCCCAGAATGTATTGCGTCTTGCACGCCACAGATCTACCGCAACCCCACAGGCCTGCTGCACCACAGCTGTTGCACCACCGCCGTGTCGCTAGACCCCCTTCTTTGGGGTCCACCAGACCCGGGTCGACACGACGCGAGCCTGCCGCAGGTCACCTCACCTCGCGCACCGCGCACCGCCTCCCCGCCTGCGCGTGGTGGCCTACGCGCCCTGGCACACTGGCAGAGGGCACGCGCTCCGGGCCGCGGCCGCGGCCGCGAGAGGTGCGGCCAGCGTCGCGCCCCCGCGGTCCCACACACCCGCTCGCGCTGCGACGAAAAGCACGACGCGCGAGGCCTCGCGCCAATTTACGGCCTCCAAAGGGGCCCCGTACAGGGTCTCGGCACCGTCATGAAAGGACTCGGGACGGAAAGCCGGTCCTGGGGAAGGGGTCCAGACCTCTGGGAAATCACGACGTCGGTGGTCTGGGATGAGAAGGAGCCCTGAGTAAGGATCGAGGCCCCTTCATCCATGAGCTACACTTCGATATCACATAGAACACCCCAGGAAAGCCTGAGACGAGCTGTGAAACAGATGAGGGGCACTGAGCCCCGCCCCAACGAGAAGGGCTCGTTCTCCACCGGACCCACTGCAGGTGGCGGCACCGTCGCGGCGCCCTGCACTGGGGAAACCCCGAGATCCTCGCGCTGCCGTCTTTTCACACCAGGGGCCTGGGCCGCGCCCCCGGCGGTCGAGCTGACCCCGGGCGCCGCGGCCCACTGCTGCGCCAGGACTCGCGCCCGCGCACATCCACGACCTGCCCAGGGCCTGCCGGGGGGGCCTCTCCTCGACCGCTCCGAAGCGGCACCGACTTGCTCGACGCAGCTGTTCGGCGGCGAGCCTGGGGGGGAAGCGAGAAGGAGAAGGCCTTCTCAGAAGGCTCGGGAGTCCCCCGGCCTTCCTGGAGGTTTTTCTAGGCCTTCCCCGGGGACGCAGGCAGCTTCTCAGAAGGCGCGAGGGCTTCTGAGAAGTCCCGCCGCCTTCTGAGAAGGCCTTCTCCTTCTCACGTCCCCCCCTCGCTCGCCGCCGAGCTGCACATCGGCCCATCCAGCTGCCTCCCCGCAAGCCGATCGGAGACAGGGCGACAGAATCTGCGCATGTGCAGTGCTCCCTGGCCAGGCCCGTCCCGAGCCCAGCAGCGGTGTGTACGCCGCGCCCTCCTGGCTTGGCCAGAGGGGCGCCTACACAGCTCCTGGGTGCAGGATGGGCCTGGCAAGGTAGCAGTGGATAAGGTGTAGAGTTCGTCGCCCGAGGAGACGACGTCCCCGAGCCCTCGGGGGCACCTGCGCCAGTACGAGGATGCTCCACATCTGCGCGGCGAAGGCGAGCGTCTGGCTGGACGTCGGCTGCGGGAAGGCCGCCCTGCAAAGCGCGGGCCGCGCCACGGCCACGGCGCCGCAGAGGGCCGCCACGGCGGCGTGCAGGCGGAGGACGTCCCGCAGCCCCGGCATCGCGGCGGGGCGGCCCCCGGGGACGGCCCCGGCCGTCCACGACAGAGGCCTGAGGAGCCAGCATGAGCGCGAGCATTCTGGCAGGCTCAGAGGCTGGCACCAACCACCAGTACAGCCAGCCCGTACAATCAGGGCGAACGAGAAGGACGCAAGGGTCTTGGAAGGCCATGTCAGACGCTTTACGAGCGGGGCGCAGCCAGCGAAGGCGACCGAGGATGGGCCGAGGGGGAAAGATGCAAGGGGAACTTTGGAAAGGCGCTGATCCTCACTATGCGGATTGACTGCATCGGCAGCGGCCTCTGACGAGGGAAGATGATCCCGATCTCGGTGGTGGTGGTGGGTGGTGGTAGTGGGCGGTGGGTGGTGGGTGGTGGGTGGTGGTGGGTGGTGGGTGGTGGGTGGTGGGTGTGTGGTGGGTGGTGGGTGGTGGGTGGTGGGTGGTGGGTGGTGGGTGGTGGAGGGGGTGGGTGGAAGGTGGTGGGTGGTGGGTGGTGGGTGGTGGGTGGTGGGTGGTGGGGTGGTGGGTGGTGGGTGGTGGGTGGTGGGTGGTGGGTGGGGGTGGTGGTGGGTGGGTGGTGGGTGGTGGGTGGTGGGGTGGGTGGTGGGTGGTGGGTGGTGGGTGGTGGAGGTGGTGGTGGGTGGTGGGGTGGTGGTGGGTGGGTGGTGGTGGTGGTGGTGGTGGTGGGTGGTGGGTGGTGGGTGGTGGTGGTGGTGGTGGTGGTGGTGGTGGTGGTGGTGGTGGTGGTGGTGGTGGTGGTGGTGGTGGTGGTGGTGGTGGTGTGGTGGTGTGGTGTGGTGGTGGTGGTGGTGGTGGTGGTGGTGGTGGTGGTGGTGGTGGTGGTGGTGGTGGTGGTGGTGGTGGTGGTGGTGGTGGTGGTGATGGTGGTGGTGGTGGTGGTGGTGGTGATGGTGGGTAGTGGTGGTGGTGGTGGTGGTGGGTGGTGGTGGTAATCGGCCACCGTGCCCTTGAGGAACGAATAGTTTGTCGAGCTGCAGAGTCCTCAGGTCCTTGGCAAGATCCCTCAAGCCTCAGTCCTCAATCCTGAAGATTACTTCAAAGGCCTGGGCCCGTCCTGCACCCAGCTTCTGGGGCTCCTCGTCGCGGCACGTGCCCCCCGAGGCCGAAGACTGCCTAAAACCGTGGGCCGTGAGTTCTTCGGGGCGCGAGCACGTCCGGAGCGGCCCCACGCTCGGCAGGCACGAGCTGGATGGAATCGAAGGATCGAAACGGATCGGAAACGGGTCGGATCGGCGGCGAATCGTCCCGAACCGGATCGAAGTCGGCTCGCCGCGCCAGGCTCCGGCTGGAACTAACCGAAGCTGGTGTAGCGGACCGAATCGAATCCAATCGGAATCGCGGCCCCAGCTGGCGAATCGGATCGCATAGCATCGACTCGTAGGCGGTCCCTCTCGGCGCGCCGCCGGGGGGTGGCTCGCGGGCCGCGGGCGCCGCCTTCCGCGCCGCCTTCTCGGCCCGCCGCTTCGACTTCCGCGCCGCACCTGGCACGCCGCAGCCCGGGAGGCCCGCGGAGGCCAAGGGGGCGAAAAACGATACAAGATACACCTTGCGACCGTCGGGGGCGCCTGTCCCAGGGCGGCTGGACAGGTCATGCCCCAACTGTGGCCGGCGGGGGCAGACACACGCCAGTCGCCCATGGGGAGGCGACCCTTTCGGTGACCTCATACGAGCCTCCCATGCCAATCGTGTTTGCTCTGGCGAGTCGAAGCTCATAGACGCAAAATCGGCGCTACATCGACGCGAATCGACGCAATCGACGTTCATCGACGCTAACTTGGCGCTGAACCATAGACTACCAGACGCTAATCGACGCGAACGCAATCTAAAGACAGGATTACGAGGGCGCACGTCGGCGGCGAGCGAGTGGGGAACTGAGAAGGACAAGGCCTTCTCAGACGGCGGCGGGACACCTCGGAAGCCCTCGCGCCTTCGGAGGAGGTTCCCGTGTCGTCGGCTCAAGAAACTTCTCAAAAGGCCGGGGGACTCGAGCCTTCTGGGAGGGCCCACCCCTTTTCGTTTCCCCCCTCGCTCGCCGCCGAAAAATTACGATGTGACGCGCCGCCAGAACATACGAGTACCAAATGTCATCCTTGGAGGCGCGCGCCCGACCCGAATATGTAGTAGACCCATCTTGTAATATATCGTTTCCCGAGCGGTGTGGCCAAAAAGCGCTGGCCAAGACGCATATACTATAAGATCTTTCGGTGCACGCGTCGCCCCCGGGGGGGCGACGCACATATCGGAAGTGAGGGGGTGAGATCGAAGTGGAACGGAGAGCCCCCCTACCGGGAAATCGATTTCGGTTTCGTGTTCGTGCGTGCCGTGCGTGCGGGCGAGGCGAAGCTGCGTGGGCGGGCGAGAGAAAGTCTCCTGTGGCTGAGGCGCGACCGGACCAAATGTCTCCCTTCCGGGCGGCCGGTGGCCCGCGGTGTCCCGCCGGTGTCCCGCGAAGGTCCCGTGTGGCTGAGGCGCGGCCGGACCAAATGATTCCCTTCCGGGCGGCCGGTGGCCCGCGGTGTCCCGCCGGTGTCCCGCGGTGTCCCGCGGTGTCCCGCGGTGCCCCGCGGTGTCCCGCCGGTGTCCCGCGATGATGATGATGATGATGATGATGATGATGATGATGATGATGATGATGATGATGATGAGATGATGATGAGATGATGATGATGATGATGATGACGATGATGATGATGATGATGATGATGGTGATGATGATGATGATGATGATGGTGATGCTGATGATGATGCTGCTGATGATGATGATGACGATGATGATGATGATGGTGATGTTGATGATGATGATGTGGACGATAATGATGATTATGACGATGATATGATGATGATGGTGTCCCGATGATGATGATGATGATGATGATGATGTCAAAGATGATGATGATGACGAAGATGATGATGATGATGATGATGATGATGCTGATGGCGTCCCGATGATGAGGATGATGATGATCATGATGATTATGTTGATGATCGTGATGATGACGATGATGGTGCCCCGATGATGATGAGTATGATGATGTTGATGTTGGTGATGATGATTATGATTGCGTCCCTATGATGATGATGTTGATGATGATGATGAGGTTGATGATGAATATGGCGTCCCGATGATGGTGATGATTATTCTGATGGTGATGCTGATGATGATGATGATGTAGTGAGACCGAATGTGATATCCATTGTGACATCGATTGTGAGATCGATTGTGAGATCGATAGTCAGATCCATTGCGGGATAGATCGAGGGAGATCGATTGTGAGATCGATCGAGGGAGATCGATCGAGCGAGACCGATACTGAGATCGATAGTGAGATCGATAGTGAGACCGATCGAATGAGACATTGGTTCCTCCCCCCCCCGAACCTCCTTATCACCCGAAGGGTGGTCGTATAGGTAGAATTAATATGTTGGGGCGACGCCGATACGAGAGTGCAGTTTTTGACGTCGGCGGCTCGGCAAGGCAACTGCGCTGGCGGAGGGCTACCTCAACGGGGGCATCGTGGTAGCGAATCGTACCCCCATGCATGAGGAGAGGAAAGGCACAGAGAGAGCGGCCGAAAAAAAAATGGGCGGCAGGGGAGCGAGCCGCTCAAGGGGACGGGTCACGCCCCGAGCGTATGGCGCGACCGGCCCCATGATCTGAAACCGACGCCCCCGACGGCGGAAGAGGCTACTGCATACCGTTCCCTGCCCGCCGAGAAGGCGTTTTTGGTTTTGCCACCAGGGTCGGGGACCCCCGCGGAGGCCCGCCATCTCCTCGGGGGCGGGCTTCCGCGGAGGTGATACAACTGGGGCGGGGGCGGGGAGACCGGAGACGGCGTCGGTCCCATTCCTGCACCCTCTGGGCCACAACGCGCGTTGTTTTCCCTATCCCCCCCCCTCCCCACCCTTGTGGGTCTCTAGGCGCGTGAAGCCCTCCCCCCCAATCCCCCCCAGGGACCCCAAACCAGCAATTCGACCCCCCCCCCCTTCGCCCAGCGAGACCCCAGACCGAACGCGCTACGGGGGAGCGGAGGGCTCCAAAACTTTTCAAAAAAGGCACCAAAACGCTCCCCAGACGGTCCCCGGGGGCCACGATTCGCCGACAAATCGCCCCCTGACGCCCACGATGGCCTCCAGGCGGTTTCCGAAGCTGCCAAGACGCCCCAAAAGGCCCCCAAAATGCGCCCCATGAGAATCGCAAGAAACAGAAATCGGCCCATTTCCGTTCGAAAACCAAGCATTCGTCGCATGCTCGCCCACTCGGCTTTCACAACGTCCATAACAGACAAAGAAACCTTCAACATCGCCCCCACACGGCCAAATGGGCTCAAAGAAGGGCCGAAAAAGAGTCCAACAACAGCCCACGAAACCCCCAAGACAGCCCAAGAGGGCCCCCAGACGGCTCCAAGACGGAGTCCAGAGGGCACCTTTTTCGAGCCTTCGGCCCCAAGACGCCCCCAGCCTGCTCCAAGAACACCCCAAAAGGCCCTGAGGAACCTCCAAAACAACCTCCGAGGCCTCCAAAAAACCCGAAGGAACCCCCCACGAGGCCCCAAAACGACCTGCAAGACGACCCCATCTGGCCTCCCACGAGATCCTCTTAACCATCCGTGTGGCCGCGCACCTGCAACCCAAGCAAGGTGGCGGGATGCGCCGCGTCCCATTCGAGAACCACTCGTCACCCACGAAAAACGCACTGACCACGCAGTTTCCCTCCACCATCTGACATTGCCCCCGCCTCCAAAGCGTTCCGAAGAGACCCCGCGAAGCACCCTTCTGATTCTGACCCCCATATCAAGCCGGTTTGGACCGACGGCCATGACAAATTGCACGGTCCAGACACCCGCACAGGGTCTCGACATCCAGGGCGACGCGCACGCTGTCCGAAGTGTCGGACGTCTTTCCAAAAGACCACCAGAGGCTAGAGCACACGTCTCCAAACCAAATCGTCCCTCCTCCTTCTCCTCCTCCTCCGATGACCCTCCTCCGCCTCTCCCCCACCCTCCCCCGCCTCCTCCTCTTCCGTTTTCTCCTGCTTGGCTTTCCTCATTCATCGATTTCGTCCTCCCCCTCGCTTTCACCCCCGTTGGTCGTACTTCTACGGGTCGTGGCACCGGCGCTCGCGTGGGTATCATTTGCACGCCTTGCATTTCAGGGTGCCCTTCTTTTCGTCGCGCGCGACACTGCTACTGTCCACGGAGGGAGCCCGCCCACCAAAAGATACAAGACAACACAAGTACGCCCCAGGACAGCAACACGACATCCCCAAGTCGATCAAGGGGTCGGCGGATGTGGCGTAAGCGTATAGAATATGTGGGAGCATCATAAGCCTAAGATCCTGGCGCTGTAAAATTACTCACAACGGGCGTTTCCGCCCCGCTTCGGGCCCCGGGACCCTCACCGATCGATCCGGCTCGAAAGATGCCGCAGAAAGACGGGGTCCAGGGCTGCGGTCGCGATTTCTGACGATGGTGTGAACGTTTTCTTATTCGGCGTTTCGACATTGAACGGACAGGAGGGGGAGGGGGTCTGGCTCCAGACATCTGCCTAGTGCGACTGTTTGCAGAAGTGCGTCCTATGGCGGAGACCCCACCTGCTTGAAACAGGCCCCAACCACAGCCAAGATCTTCTCCACGGGGGGGGGAGAGGGGGGAAGGCGAGGGCCCGCGCCGATCGGCAAAACAAGGAATAGGCAAACGACCCCTGCCACGCGATGCCGCAGCTTGCTTCGCAACGACGGGCCTCAGAGGAGGAGGGTTCGGCTCGGCCCGGGCCGGCCCCGAGGGCAGCCCGGGGGGCTCCCTCCGCGCCTGCGGCCTCGGAGGCCCCCCCCGCCAGAGCCCGAGGCCCCCTTCGCCCGAGGAGGAAGAATCGGAATCGGAATCGGCCCCTATCGCGGTGCGAAGAGTGACAGAACGACAACAAGGCAGGCCCGAACTACGAGGACTTCGCTCGGTTCGAGGACTTACCCTGATCCTTGGGCCACAGCCCGTCGGAAAACCTCTGAATGTACATCTCGCGAGTGTCGGCCAACACTTCATCGCGCGCTTTGGCCAGGGTTGGCCTCAGCTACTGACGCAAACGAACCGCACTTCTTACAAATCCAACCCTTCAGAGACACATGATAAACAATTTCGTGGGATTCGTGGACCCAGCCCCCCCCGATATGCACCTGTCGACCCCTCGGCAGCCTATAAAGAACCGAATCAACAGACATCGCCACAACGTGGCGGCGTCGGCAGAGGAACTACAAAAGCATCGTACACATCGCCTCGACGACTCGTCAAGGCTGCGGACGGTCTCAAACACCGAGACCATGCACGGGGAGGGAGGGGGAGGGGGCCGCTCCTGCCTTGAACTCGATGCGCGAGGCCTCGGAGGAGCACCCGCGATGGCCTCCAGCGTTGAGCGGAGGAGACGCCTGCGGACGAGCGCTGCGTCGCTCTCCACCTGGGCAATTTTGGCACGGACCACGATACTGACG